TCGACACATTTTGACGCGTCGTTCGTAATGTTCAGTGGTGGCCAAACACAAGGATCCACTCAACCATGAGCACCCAAAGCCACGCACTATGTGCACCTTACCAATACGAAGCTGTATCTAGGGACAATGAGGGGAGGGGGTGTTGCCCAAATAGAATAGACAACATTTGTGGAGTTGATATAACCTGAAAGGTGAATATGGGCTCTGCCAAGGAACCAAACGTCATAGAGGAAATATTTACACTTTTCAAGACGATCGAGGAATCATGAACACGTTGCTCTCCTCTGATACTGATAGCTTCGCGAACAGGAAAATGGTATGGTACAGTAGTAGATGAAGATCTGCCTCGAGAATACGGACCGTTGAGAATTAAGAAAGCCAATGCTGCAGACATCGTCTACAGACAGACGTGTCATGGGGCTCATCTACTGAATTCTGCACCCTGGTGACATTTAAAGGGGTGCGAAGTGTGTATTTGACCTGAAGTAGTCGTTTTGTCTGGGAATTTTCAGTTCTGATTCTCTGCAGGTCCTAACTGATGGACCATTTCCACCCTTGACATAAAAAAAGGCCTTAAGAGCATTTTAACATTATTTCCGTACCTTGTACAAAACTTACGAAAAGAGTTGGTTGTGAGGAAATGTTCAATACAAAAAGTTCTCTATTCTGTATTAATCTTAACCATGATCTCAGCAGGCAAAGGAAACTTGAGAAAAAACTATCTACAAACTTTTGTTGGCCTGTTCGACTACTACTACTGTAGTTCGCAATATGGCGCAATCGTTGGGATTTTTAGTGGAAGGCCTTATGCGAACTAGTGCGTCATCTCTATCTCTACATATTATATATGTGAAAGTTCGTCACTTTGGCCGCCTAAAACTTCCGAACAACTTAACTTTCGAATTTGACAAGATCAATGGTGGTTCAGAATCATTTAAAAGAGTGCACAGTTTTATTGAGGAGGCTGAAGTCACTGTAATTTAATTTTAAGTTTTTCATTAGTTTCGTTTAGATATATTCCTGGGAAATTCTAAAACGCCGTTGTAAACAAGTGAGGTTTCCGTTCACTAGCCGTGCGCACTGATTTCTGGAGTGTACAACCGAGAAAGCAGAATAGAGAATCAGTCTACTGGATCTAGATTCTATAGACCTACATCTCTATATCCAGGCCAGACCTTCTAATTTTTTGCATCTCTCAAGATTTATTGCTCCATTCCAGTAGAATGTAAAAATGTAGTACATGTAGGTCAATGACTTTCAGTTGATGTTACTGCGCCGATCATTCCTTTCATCGAAAGGGGCCCCAGCTACTGCTACATGGGGACATAGCTGAAAATAGGTTGTTTCTTTGTTACACGCTATGTAGAGCAAAATATTTTGTGGATTTATCTAAAAGGAATATCAGACAAGTTCCTCTTGACTTCCAAATTCTGTGAACAAATTTGAAACGCAAAACTTCAGCGTGGAGGAAAATATTAACCAAAAGTTGTAGTTTTTTTTGGATCACCATGTAATATGCAAAAGAAAATTTAAAAAAAATTATCTATAAAAATATTTTTTATTCAACGTTCCAAATATCAAATATCACAGTTGGCAACACAGTATTCTCAGATTTGTACACATGAGCAGTTACAGTGTTTCATGTTTCATGTACTGCACTCCAACACACAATGCTTCAGTATTGAATTATAATTATTGAATGTACACAGAAAATAAAACTGCACTTTAGAATGGGATTTGAACATGAAATGAGTAAAAACACAGGTACATAATATGTACATTTCATGCTCCCAGAGAGCAAATTTAATAGGTATGACATGGTCATAAAATCATGCGCTAGTCAACATAATAAAACTAATAAAACGAAAAAAATCAACATTTTTCTGCCTGTCCGGCAATTTTTATCAATTGTTTTCTTCTTTTTTTTGGGCTGAGCACCTGTTTTGGTATTTCAAAAACACATTTCTGCGCGGATTCTACTGAAAAAACATTGATCAAAAGTACCAAAATGATACATTTACAGTTTCCAGTGACACTCAAGCTTTAGACTCTGGAACTAACCAAAATTTGGTGTCCATTTTCAGGCTTATAAATTTTATCACACGAGTATTTATTACCATCGAAAGCAAAGCAAATAAACAGGCTTTGAGATTATACCAGTAATTCCATACATGCCCAAAACTGACGAGCGCTTGATTCCACCGCGTCGTCATTATAATTCATCACCATGATACCCGACGAACATACGTCTTGTTACTCAGGCACACACGCACTAGTTTTGTGGGACCACCCATTTATGAAACAGACACCTTCTCAAAGACAATACTTTGTAGTTTTGTTAATCTATATGATGGTCGCTTTTAAGGACAGGCGGGTTAACCCATATTTTGGGGGTTTCCAAAAATCTTGACCTTCACCAAAAGTGGGCATTGCCCTGCATGTTTGTACATATAGAGGAGAAGTTTGGTTTCGTTGGTGTTTATATTTGTTTGGTTAGAGAGAAACTCTCCTTGTGTTTTGAAGAAACTGAACAAGGGTCCAAAACCTTTACCTTCGATTTTCTCAAAACAGCATTTTTCGGAACAGCCCCCTTGAACGTAAAAGCGACCATATTTCCTGGCTTCTTGCTACAGGATCGGATTAGCCCGATCACAACTCATGTGTTGAATATTCTTATTTTGCCTACTTTGTGTTGGATACGGCGTATATGTTAACTCAAATAATAACCGTTATGGCTCTACAAACAAGGCTGTTACTGTGCTGGCACTTATGGTATCTCATTCACCCCCACCCCTCTCCCCCCCCTCTCTC